AGTGACTGAGCCCCTGGTTTGCAATCCATTACCAAAACAAATCCACAGTACCTGTTTGTGCTGCTCCCTAAGCTGTTACTACACCTCTTCGATTTCAGCCTCCTGGACTTTAATCTAAGGAGGTCCGAGTCGTCCGGTGAGGGGTACGCGGAAGCATAGCCGTTGAGGGAGAGGGAGACAGAGAGAGGGAGAGGGAGACAGAGAGAGGGAGAGGGAGACAGAGAGAGGGAGAGGGAGACAGAGAGAGGGAGAGGGAGACAGAGAGAGGGAGAGGGAGACAGAGAGAGGGAGAGGGAGACAGAGAGAGGGAGAGGGAGACAGAGAGAGGGAGAGGGAGACAGAGAGAGGGAGAGGGAGACAGAGAGAGGGAGACAGAGAGAGGGAGAGAGCGAGATAATTTTTTAATACAACCAATCGATTAGTTGAAAAAATAATCGGGCAACTAATCTTGTGTTGTTACAACGGGAGGAACCATTATCCTTTTTCGTTTATTAAAATCTCAAAGTGACATCATTTGCATATAAAGTGATATAATTAGCATATTTCCCAAGGCTAAAGAACCCCCTCCTCTCCTGTGCTATGAAAACGAGGAGAGGGGGAGGTTATTGTAGACTTGTCCTAGGGTCGCCCTAGGACAGGAAGTGTACTACTGGCAGGATCTCCAGCACAAAGCCTAAGAAAGAAAACAAATGCAGCCACCTTCTTCAAGGACCGGTACGCTGCAATATATGACATTTTTTTCAATGACTCCTTTATATTAGCCGCATGTGCTTGGCTTGAATTCAAGAGAACCTGTCACGGCGACTGATCGCAGCTTAGCATCCGATCCAATGTGTGAAGGTATGAGCGCTCACTTCACAGTAGCGGCATGAGTTCCAGAGCTGCCATAACTCTGTGCTGGCTGGGCATCAGCACCGCCTCTGGTAAGTGGACAGTGACAGCTACCAGCGGCGGGAGCCTGTCCCTTTAAGACGGAGTCGCAGTGGTCAGGGGTCACAGGAACAATCTGACCGGTTATTTTCAGCCAGGCCGGGAGTGAAAAGATTATTTAGCCGGGAATGTTCTAAAGTCACGCTCCTGGATTTGCCGTAATGCACCGAGCAGCTGGTCTACCTAGAGCAAGTGTGGGGTCAAGTGTGGCGTGTACAAATGTGCGCCGGCACAATGGCTCCGGAACCGGCAACAGTTTCAAAGAATTTCCAGGGCCGGGACGCCTGCCGAGGCTTTTGTACCTGTGACGGTCACTCCCTATACTTTCCAATGTCATTTTAATGTAATTGCTGAATCCAACAATGACACTGACAGTGTGTGGCCAGTGCGTTCAATTAAAGACCGGTCACTTCTGCTCTCTCTCCTTGTGCAGGGTGACTGGTCTTGTCTCCGCCCCCTCCTGTAATGAAGACCGGTCACTGCTGCTCTCTCTCCTTTTGCAGGGTGACTGGTCTTGTCTCCGCCCCCTCCTGTACATTGATATCACTTTAAAAAAAGAAAAATAATGCAGCCTCCACATCTCAGGACTGGTGAGCTGCAATATATTTTTGTTCTTGGGTTTAGATGTTCTGTAACACAACTATATGTATCAAACCAACAATCAACTGGAAAAAATATATAACCGGATCAATAAACCCATTCGGACATTATCTGTATTTGATCAGTTAAGGTGGCCATACACTTTACAACTATCTAAAGGTCTTGCGATGGTTGTAAAGTAATTTTAAAAAACGTACGATCTGCCCATCTTGGACAGGCAGATCGTACTTGCGATCATCGCAAGCCCGCCCCCCTGAGGGGCGGGCTTGCGATAACCGCAATGCTGAACGGGCAGTGTGCGCGTGCGGCATTGATTTTACGATCAAGCTAAAAACCAGCCGAAAATCGTACGATTCTCGGCTGGTTTTCTAGCATGCTCCTTAGACAAAAGACGTGCGACAGTACAGTAAAAACGGTCGCACGCCTTCCATACACTTTGCGATTATCGTACGATCGCTGGGATTTCCCGCGATGATCGTGCGATAATCGCACAGTGTATGGGCACCTTTAGAGACGGTGATGACTGAGAGAACCTTGAACCGTGATTGGCTGAATGGAAGATCCTTTTATAGAATCTATCAATTTAAAAGAAAACAATTCTTATAAAAGTATCCGGAGAAAAATGGAAACGCGTTTTCCCGGCATCAGAGGACTCAATGCAAAGCGACCATATTCACTTCCAAGGAGAGTTTGTGGTCTGTGACATTTATGAAAAGCATCAATCAATAAAAAGTCTAAAACTTCTTAAAAAACAAACAAACAAAAAACAGCCGCCGTGTTGTCCCGGACATCCTCTTCTTATCTTGAGACAGACAAAAGCATCCCTCCACGGTGACAATGTCAGTTCCCCGAAGGGATCATATTCTGCACAGACAATGCGAGGTTGCTTCGCGTTCTTCCATCTTTTACTGCCCGCCGATGTCACTTCCTGTCTGGCTCGCCTATTCTCAGCCACGGGGGGGCTTAAAATTTAGCCCCTTTGCTGAGAACTAACAAAACAGGAAACAGCTAAATAAGGTGAAGGTTCACAAAGGACGCCGTCGCAGCTCGCGTAGTCCTAAAACAATATGCGGGCAGAGAAGCCGTCAGGTCTCCCCAACTTACTTGAAGCAACTTGATTTTCCCCCCAATTTTGGTGATTTGTATTTATTTTGTTACAAGCGCGGTGAAAACATCGGCGACTTTATAAGTCAGTTTCATTGTCTACGGAGAGCCAGACCTTTCGGAAAGCCTATCCAAGCCCAAGAACAAAAATGGAACATATTGCAGCTTTCCGGTTCTTACATGTGCTGGCTGCATTCGTTTTCTTTCCTTTATTTTAACCCCTTGACTCTGCCAGTAACCCGCGTCCCATCCTGGGGTCCAATGCCCACTCGCTGCACTGTATCTATTGTGGAGCAGGTTGTCACCCTAGGCTGCTCCCCTGAATTGGACTACAAACACACAGGGGCGTCCCAAGGCCGGGTGTCACCCGGTCTCCAGATCGGGTGACACCCCGCCGTGGTGTCATCGAGCATGCGCGGCCATCTGATAGACCCCTGCCGGTGGCCAACTTCATGTGATGGACGCCGGCAGAGAGAGGAGGGGACGTTCACCCGGCGGGATGAGGTATGCCACCAGGTCCCCTCCTCCCTCCTGGCACTGCTGGGCTCTCGGTCCATGATCGAGTGCTCGACTTTTTAGAGGGGGTGACACCAAAATGACTGACAGTCATCACCCCTGCAATGGTGTCACGTGGGTGCGGGCCGCACCCTCCTTGTGATGCCACTGCAATTACATCCTCTTTCTCGCTTGAAGGGTATTTCCACTTTTGCAGTCAAATTGCGATTAGGGATGAGCTCATATATTGTCATACAGGACAAATGTCTATTAAAAGGAAGTTCCATCAAAGTTCCAGATGCCCCTCCCCTATAGTCAGGTGTCTTACCAGGCAGGGTGTCACCCCGTGCGGCCGACGGGTGTCACCTGGCGCAGGTGTCATTACATTAAGTGTGACGTCACTACGCACATGCGTAAGGATGTCACGTGCACTTCACTGCCAGAGGCCATGTTGGAGGGGAGGGGACGTTTACGAGAGAGGAGGGGACCTGGCGGCATACCTTATCCCAGGGGTGTAACCACAGATCATGGGATCCCATAGCAAAATTTTGATGGGGTCCCCCAGCAACCTCCCTACCATCAATGATAATAAAGTCAGGTAGCAGGAGAGCTGTACATCTGACGTCAGCTCTTCTTGATTAATAATGTCAGTGTCAGGAGCAACTTCTGCAACTCTTATTGGGGGCCCCCTTACGCCCCCAATGGCAGCCGCATGGGCCGCTATGGCTATTGTTAGGCCACTGCCATATCCAACTGGGCCCCCTCCTCTCTAGGGCAGCTGTCAGGCTCCCAGTTCATGACCAAGTGCCCAACATTTCAGAGGGTGGCACCAAAATCACTGCCAGTCATATTGGTGTCACCCCCTCTGATGGTGTCACTCGGTGCGGGTCAAACCCCCCTGCATCCCCCTTGTGACCTCACTGCCCATAATTAATGAAAAAATTAACTTCAGATGTTGAATTATAAATTGTAACCACTGTGCACATCACAATCAGAAGCAGCTGCACCCCTAACCTGATACTATGTACATTTCCTGTCAATGATGATCACATTTGTACTTGTTCTGTACAGACTAACTCTAGAAAATGTGTTTTTTCTTTCACTTTTGTCAGGTTTTTATTTCTGTCTGTGGCCCCAATGGGGAAATTATCCATCACTTCCTCTACCTGTGACACCTGTATAAGAAGTGAGGGTGTGGCTGACAATGGGTGTCATTCAACCAGGAAGACCGAGGACATCTAGTGGCAAAATAGAAGTACTGCTGGGGGACAGAGCTCCGGATTGAAAGTGAGTATTGCAGCCTGAGCTCCTTTTTTTTTTAACTTTGTACACTGCCTAGGGCACATGTGTCGAACTCAAGGCCCAGGGGCCGAATCCGGCCCACCAGGCCATTTCCTAGACTTCTACTTTCAGATCTAGGTATTAAGTTATTACTAAAACCAGTGATAAATCGAATGCAGAGGCAATTGTGATAAAGATTAGATACATTTATATAGTCTTACAGATACCTTTGAGGGCAACCATAATGTTGATGCGGCCCACGAATAAATTGAGTTTGACATCCCTGGCCTAGGGTTTAACAAAAATGGCCCGGCCCGGCTTTTACCAAATTTAATACAAAGGGAATGTCCTCCCAGTAGAATCAGGAATTGCTGTTCTGTTACTAAGGCACTTAGTGGGCCTGTCCACACTGGTCGCACTACTCTGCATTTGACATGCAACATTTTTGCAATCATCGACCTGCCGGCCCAATGAAACCCAAATTAAAGGGATCTTCTAAAAACATAAAATAAAATAAAAAACCCGACAGACGTCTTTGCAGTGACTGAGCCCCTGGTTTGCAATCCATTACCAAAACAAATCCACAGTACCTGTTTGTGCTGCTCCCTAAGCTGTTACTACACCTCTTCGATTTCAGCCTCCTGGACTTTAATCTAAGGAGGTCCGAGTCGTCCGGTGAGGGGTACGCGGAAGCATAGCCGTGCTCACATTCTGCAAAGAGAAGGGGAAAAAAAATAAAAGGATTAAGAGACGGGCAGGAGTGTTAAATGGTCACGTCAGAGTCCTGACCTCAATCCTATTGAAATGCTGTGCTGTGATCCGAAACAGCTCACCTAAGCACAGCATACAAAACATATTCCTGAACCGATAGAGTTTTGTTTATTCCGATAGGTGAAAATACATCCTGACCTCTGAGACTGACCGCTGCTGATCAGACGGATACGAGTATTGTTAATAAATGGAGGTTCCGCTAGTTACTAAATGTAAAGGTTCAGATACATTTCACCATCAATGATATATGTGTAAAAAGATTTATTTTACAAATTATAATTTAATACAAGGCCCACCAATCACAGAGCATGGTGGGGTTTCTAAAAATAGGAGCCGACTGCTTTTAGGGGTACACTCTCTGACTGAAACTCCATACAGCATCATATGAACTCAGCAGCCAGATGGGGGAGGGAAGAGGGAGGAGTCCCGCCTCTGATTCATTAAGTCATGCCTGTAGATTGCTTGAGTGGTGACCGCGGAATATTTAGTAGCCGGGAAATGTCACGGAACACCTGAATCCAATGATTTGGAGTGGGAGGGGCACAATACTTTTGGCAATATAGTGTACGTCCGGGAAGGAGCCAAGAGCTCCAGGGGACAGCTAGGAATGCGAGTCTGAAGTATAATATGCATAGAATTAAAATTGTCAGTGTATTGTGCGTCCTGAATGTACATAATACGACATATTCCATTATATGAATAATATTTGTGTGTAGCGGTTTCTATGTGACATTATTTATGTACACGAGTGCAACCCCTGTCCGCTCATTACGTATGCGGGCTCGACTTACTTTGTAGTGCTGCACATGGGTTGTGCCTTGCTGCTTCTCCTACCTCACAATGCAAGTCTACCTGTCAGGTCTGAACGAAAGCAAAGCACTCTCTAGGTCAGGCCTTCTTAAACTTTCTCTCGCTGTCTCTCTCCTCTTCTCTTCCTTCCCCAACACCAGTCACTGTCTCTCTCCTCTACCCCCCCAGTGTCTGTCGGCGTCTCTCTCCTCTTCTTCCTGCGCACACGTGCTCAGGAAGGTACCAAGTGCAGAGGGGGGCCGCGACCTTAAAAACTACACTACACTGCAAATTATACATTAAACTGAAATAAAACAATCTAGCTTGGTGCCCAGACCTCCTCGGCCGCTTGGGCCCCTCACACAAGTACCGGCCATACCCCCCTGATGGCGGTCCTGGCCGGGTACTCGGATCGCGACCCCCCCTGTTCACTTGCGGGACCCCATATGCATCACTTGCGTGACCCACACTTTAAGAAGCACTCTCTAGGTGACAGACATTTTTTATCTCAGCAGTTGTTGATCAGGCAAGCTGGGGGATAGCAGTAAAGACTGCCACTAGGAAGAGAAGCTACAAATCAGTTTATTTAATGCAATGTTAAAAATATGGTACAGAACTATACCATGAGATGGTAAGAAATATAAAAAGTATCATCAAGTCAAGTTAAAGTTTATTTAAAGGAGAACTATGGGGTCAGTGTTTTTCCCCATAGTTCTCCTTAGGGTAACGGGAGGACACAAACTAGCGCCCTCCCGTGGAGGCTGTGATGTGAAGCTCCAGTCTGCATTGACGCACAGGCCAGTTTGTTTACTTCTTGCAGCAAAGACAGAGAGGGCTGCTCCCACCGCGGCTCGGCTGCAAAGGATGATGGGTATTGTAGTCCCCCCCTCCCTGTCCCACATGCTTAACCCCTTCACTGCCGGGGAGTTTTGTAATCCCACTTCTGGTTTTTTTTCCCCATTAAAAAAACCCAAAACAATCCTTTGCTGAGGAACCATGCAGACTGCCCTCTCCCTCTGATCCTGCAGCTTCAGTCGGCAGCCAGTCATCTGAAGGCTTGACACCAAAATGACTGAGTCATTTTGGTGTCACCCCTCCAATGGTGTCACCCAGGTGCGGGCCGCACCCCCCTTGTGACGCCACTGTTCCCGAGTTCCCCAATGCAATTTGGAAATTTGGATCCCCAATGCCATTTTGGTCTGGGAACTTTAGTAGTGTATGTAACTATAGGGCTCCCAGACCCGAATGGCATTGGGGTGATAATGTCTCAGTACCTGTGATTGGCGCTGCGGCGCTGTCAGCTTCCTGGCGGGCTCGGCACGTGGAGCTGCCAACACGCCCCGAGCCCATCACTACTCCTGAATGCCATTCGGCTCTGGGAGCCATATACAGTATATACATATAATACTAAAGCTGAGGCTCCCAGACCCGAATGTCATTCAGAACCTCCCAAATGCAATTCGGAAATTCGGATCCCAAATGCCATTCGGGTCTGGGAGCCTCGGCTTTAGTACTATATGTATATACTGTATATGGCTCCCATGTTGCCGGAATGAAAATTCGCGTTCAGACCCATTCGGATGCAGTAAACCGAAAAACACATGTGATTGGCCAGAAAAGTCACATGTCCCATTCAGTTTAGTTTTTTGAATGAAATTCAGACGGGATCCGGAATGGAAATTCAGATTCGGATGCATTGGGATTCGGAAATTCGGATGCGTCGGAAATTTAGGAAAATTAATGCGAATTTTGATGTGGCACGAAAGAAATTGCACTTGTCTACTAAGTACCATTATCATTGATGAAGCTCTATACATCAGTGCAGACCTGAGCGACCCGGGATCTCGCGGTCCTGCCCAACTGAAGATATCGCGGAAGATACCGCGAAATCGCGGCAGCAAACCGCGCGATCCGCCCGGCGCGACTGGGGTGCCATTGGAAAATAATGGCACCCACAGTGCGATCGTCTGTGATGGGCGACACCGTGACCGTACGGCAATCCGCGTGGTTTTCGTGCCCTATTGCTGCGCGGTCACAGATCGCCTAGGTGTGCACCGGCCCTGAAAGATACCGCAATCTTGTACAAATGAGCGTTATATTTTATGTTTGATGGTAACGCATGGAAAACGTGCTAGAACCGCGTCGTGCCACGTGCATGTCCATGTTTCCGAACACAACCCACATGAAAATGAAAGCGCATGTAAGCGGCACACGAAACGCGCCTTGAATTGCGTTACATTTAACGCAATGCGCCAAAAATACATAATCTGCATCAAGGAAAGCACAGGTGTGTTTTCTAAAGCTATTGGACCAATCAGAGATCGCCATTCGCTGGTTTGTATCATAAGCTGGTCGTTTACGGGGCAAGTTTGTCTGTGATGAAGGTTCCACAATGCCGATACACTACTACTGTTAGGCTGCACATTCATATTGAATGGGCCCTTTAAGAGCCTCATCACATGAAATAGGGCCCCTGCACCACTGTTTGGGCACGCAGACCACCCTAGGTAATGACCACAGGTGATGCCGAGCCTCCATGATTGAACTGAGATCCAATGAATGAAAGGGGCGGGGCCAGGGACAGTCAGGAAAGGACTAGATGATGCTGGACGTCCTCCAGCCAGGAAATGAGGCGGAGCTCTATCTGCTGCAGCTTCTAATGCACATTGTGAGAAGCTCCCAGTGTGCAGTGACATCAGAGGAAGAGGAGAGGAGCCGGTACAACTGTGCAAGACTGAAGGGAAGGACGGAGGTCAGATAGAAGACTGAAGGGAAGGACAGAGGTCAGATAGAAGACTGAAGGGGAGGACGGAGGTCAGATAGAAGAGTGAAGGGGAGGACGGTGTGGTGTATGTGGCGCTCACTGTGCATTCCAATACCCTCTATGCATGGTGGAACACATCATGGGAAACCAAAAGCCCCCCTTGTGCAGTCATGTGGCCTCAGTGACAGTTGGAATAGTCGGAATCAGGAAGTTGGATTAGGGAAACTTCCTATTTACACAGCATCATTTAAACTCCACAAATGTCATGTGACGCACGAGATTCACCGCGCAGAAAAGGAAGTAGCGCGCCTCGTAAATCCTCCAACTGTCCCTAATTCTGACTCTTCCCTGGAGACGTGCTGAGCGTCCCTGACCCTTCTCGGTGACTCATTTGGTTCAGTCATCCAGGGACAGCGCTCGCCGGACTCCATTCCTCCATTGGACAGGTTCATGGAATTGCTCAATGAATGCAAATTAATTCCACTGAAAAGAAAAGTTTTGGCGATTCGTCTTAAAATTGGCCGGCTGTCAATCATGCAACAGGGATCCCCATCTCCCCTCTCTGTTCCTCCAGGGCTCATTGGAGTGACATTTGGGGAGGGGGCGGGCACAGAGACAGAGCCAGCTGTCAATCAGGCACAGTGATTCCTCCCACCCCTCTCTGTTCCTCCAGTGCTCATTGGAGTGACAGTTGGGGAGGGGGCGGGCACAGCTGACTCTGGCTCTAGAGAGGCAGAGACAGCTGTCAATCAGGCAGCGTGGTGCTTAATGACAATATTGTCGGGATCTTTCATGGCTGCAGTGCGGATCTGCTCTGTCACAAAATAGCCGGCAGTAGCCCGCTATATGCTGACTTTGTGTCACAAGAACACATTAGTAAATGTCCTCCTGTGACCCAAAAGAGGACTGAAGCCAAACAAAAAAGGTCTGGCCATGGTTCTCTTTGAAAACAGAATTCCATCTTTTGCTGCCATACTAACCTTTCATTCAGAGCTGTCTCCTGCATTACTTCTCCTCTGCCACTAGATGTTCTCAGTCTTTCATGTTACATGATGGCCAGCGTCATTAAACCCACTTCATCTGAGCCCAGGCTGTCAGGGACATCAATACATTTCCTGTCTTTTTTTTTTGTAGGGGGGTTCCTGATGGTGACAGCAGCGGGCCATGCCTGTGTTATGTATGCTGAAACTACCACTTTCCATCAGAAGCCCTTGTGTCAGGGTGACAACACAGGAGCACAATTGGGAGACAGAGCGTTGTCACCCTGTAACAGGAAGTGCCTGTAAACTGGCTGGGTTTACATCTACTTTGAGGGCCCATTCACCTTTTAGCACTGCGTCGCAGAACATTACTGCGCCCGATAATGTGCGTTACAATAAGCCAGACC